GCTTGTAGCGACAGTGGAGAGGAAAAACTCCCTTTGAACAGGAAGAAACCTGTAAAGGTAAACTGTAAAGTGCCTTGAGATGACATGTGGTGTGAAGTGGCACTATAGAAATAAACTGAATAGAATTGACTCGTTCTCCATCCCCTTGAATATTTTAACTTGTGCAGGACCTGAGCAGAGACATCTACGACCTTTACGCCGAGTACGAGCGGGAGGAGGTGGAGGATCGGCTGCCGGTGTCGCCGTCTCGTGTTCTGGTGTCTCCGACCAAACATCTGACCCTCAACATCAACGTTGGAGGAACGGTAACATGAGAACGTGGTGCAGGAACCTCCTGCTTTATGGCATTTATCATCCTCCGGCTTTATTAAATATTAATAACAATCATAACAAGTAAAAGTAAAGAAAATAGCTAAAGGAAAATTAGGTTAAATATTATGAATAAGGAGGATTAAAAATACAATTTAAAAGTGAATAAAAATACAAATTTCCACTTTTAAAAAGTAGTCAAAGATTGAACAATAAATAAATTGTAATTAATTGTTTTCATTCTATGATTAATTGTATCTGTATTTTCATTTATTTTCATTATTTTAATTAGATTTTTGTCATTTATAATTTATTGCATTTTCGGTTTTTATATATTTATTTTTTTTCTTTAGATTTCATCATTTTTATAAATTCTATACTTTCTCAAGTTTTTTGTTTTACTTTGAAACTTTCATTATTCTAGCTTATTGGATAAAACTAATAATATATATATTTTTTTCTCTTTATGGATAAAATAATTTAATCTTTCATGTTTTCTATCTGCTGGTTTAGCAGCTGATGCTAAAGCAAAGCAAACTTCTGATTCTACCAGAAGTTTAGTTTATTTAGTATTTGGAAAACTTTTATTCTGAAAGGTAATCTTTCTTTTCTGTTTGTTTGTTTGTTTTTTATAACAATGCAGAGTTTGTCTTTTTTAACACCTCTAATTTTAATTATTTTGTGGCACAAAACTTCAGTTTAAACATTAATATTTTCTCTTTTTTCCACAATGAAGAAAACTGCATCTTTTTGATTTTATAATCAGTATTTCTGCAGGTGAATGATTTCAGATTATTTGATGTTGTTGTAAAGCTTTACTATCTGAAGGTTGAGCCAGCAGAAGGTCCGTCTCAGACCAGAACCACTCAGATGATTGTAACGGTTTCTCCTCAGGTCTACCTGCTGCCCTACAGATTAGCCGTGCGGTACCCAAAGACCCGGATCGGCCGTTTGGCCACCTACACGGACCACAGCAAGAAGCTCGACCTTTGTGACGATTACGTCGTCCAGAGCAACGAGTTCTTCTTCGACCGGGACCCAAAAGTTTTCCACAATATCTTCAACTTCTACAGGTGAGTTCGGATGAAAGTCCAGCCCCTACGGCTCAGTGATGAGTTTTACAGCCGGAGGTTTTTATCTTCTTTCCACTGCCTGGTCCAACAGAACCGGAGTGCTGAGCATTCAGGAGGAGCTGTGTCCGCACAACTTCCTGGAGGAGATCCACTACTGGGGGGTGAGGATCAAATACACCCATCGCTGCTGCCGCATCTCGTTCGAAGAGAGGCAGGACGAGCTGAACGAGCAGCTGAAGGTCCAGAGGGAGCTGTTAGCTGAGGTGAGCCGGTCCAGGAGTTTACTGAACCTTCTGTCTGCAGCTCCGCCTGCTCCTTTTAAAGGCATATAGGACGATCTTTTATTTCCAGGTGGATCGTCTAAATAAATAGTCCTCTTAACTGTCAATCATTCTGGTGATACGTTTACGTAAGGCCGTCCTACGCGTTTGTCCTGTTAGCTAGCTTTCTCTGCCCACTTTCAGGCGTGTATCTGTGGAGAGCGACGGTTTCAGACGGTCACTGAAGCTCACCTTTCTCACCGCGGTTCTTTAAAAATGGCCGAGGGTCGTAAGAGGAAAAAGTGTCCAGAAAGCGTATGAGAAGAAAAGAAAGGCCTCAGCGGAGGCAGATATATCCCAGAATGCTTTGCGCTGAGCTCTCCTCACAAAGCATTATGGGATTTGCTGTCACAGCAGCCCGCTGTCGCTACCCTAATAACAGATGGTGCAGGCACCGCACAGTAGGAGGAGGAGTTACGTGACCAACGGGGATGAAATGGCAGTGATCATCTGTCTGAACGGTCAGTTAACCGAGTTCACTATAAAGTTCACTATAAAGTCCCCGCTCTATATAGTGATGGAGGGATTTAGGGGTTAGGGTGGATGTTCAGCAACAGTGAGCTTGTATGATCTATGAGAACAGCAACTTTTAAAGGAAGTGTGCACGAGGAGAAATGTGCTCGTGCACGCTCATGCACGCGTTTGATAGGCGTTCCCTCTCAGGAGCGGGTACAGGGTTGTGCATGTGCATCTTTTTTGAAACTGAGAGGGCGGGTCTTTTAAAAATTTGCAAAAATTCTCCCCAATACCTCTATTCTATTCTATTTTATTCTATTCTATTCTGTTTTACATCTGCTATTGAGTTTGGGTCATAGTTTTGTTGGTGACGCTGTTTGGACTCACATCGGACTCAATCAGGCCAGGATATTTTGGTTTCCTAACTGTCCAGCCATGACCTTTAACCTTTGACCTGCTACCTTAAGGCTGTAGTCTGGGCTTCCTTTGGCTGCAGTTGGGTCTGGCTGATTAGCAGCTGTCTCTACTCCTGACTGTGACCAGACTGATGGAAAGAACCGCTGCTTCTCTGAGGTCACCGCTGATGCAGTCTCTCCTCACTGCTGTAGAGTTTAAAGTATGACAGCGCTGCATCATCAGGTCACCTGACTGATCAGCACCATGGAGCAGCGAGGGTGCACTAACTTTCCATTCTGGCTTTATCTGTGCTCAGTGGAGGTAAGATGTGGATCATTAGAGGGTTGATCGCGTTTCAGCCGCCTGTTGGTCCAAACCTTCAGCGGCCAGTCAAACCAGAAGTCGTAGCGGGNTGAGTTTGGGTCATAGTTTTGTTGGTGACGCTGTTTGGACTCACATCGGACTCAATCAGGCCAGGATATTTTGGTTTCCTAACTGTCCAGCCATGACCTTTAACCTTTGACCTGCTACCTTAAGGCTGTAGTCTGGGCTTCCTTTGGCTGCAGTTGGGTCTGGCTGATTAGCAGCTGTCTCTACTCCTGACTGTGACCAGACTGATGGAAAGAACCGCTGCTTCTCTGAGGTCACCGCTGATGCAGTCTCTCCTCACTGCTGTAGAGTTTAAAGTATGACAGCGCTGCATCATCAGGTCACCTGACTGATCAGCACCATGGAGCAGCGAGGGTGCACTAACTTTCCATTCTGGCTTTATCTGTGCTCAGTGGAGGTAAGATGTGGATCATTAGAGGGTTGATCGCGTTTCAGCCGCCTGTTGGTCCAAACCTTCAGCGGCCAGTCAAACCAGAAGTCGTAGCGGGTCCAGAAACGACGGCGTTCTGCTGTTATTTCACCACCTGAGGTCTTAGGGATGTAATCTGCTTCCTGCCTCTGACCTACATGATGCAGCGCGGCGGCGTCTGGACAGATGGCAGAGCAGCAATAAGCTGCTTCTTGGCCCAGATTTAGGCTGATGTTGAAGTCGATGATGTCATCAGTTTACTTCCCCTGAAGCAGCTTTAGGTCATCGACTGGGAGGGAAACATCTGGATGGATGGATGGATGGATGGATGGATGGATGGATGGATGGATGGATGGATGGAGGATGGATGGACGGACGGACGGATGGACGGACGGACGGATGGACGGAGGGATGGACGGACGGACGGACGGATGGACGGATGGATGGATGGATGGATGGATGGATGGACGGATGGATGGACGGATGAATGATGGACGGATGGATGGATGAATGATGGACGGATGGATGGATGGACGGACGGACGGACGGGCGGACGGATGGAAGAAGGACGGACGGATGGAAGAAGGACGGACGGATGGATGAAGGACGGACGGACGGATTGATGGATGGATGAAGGACGGACGGACGGACGGATGGATGAAGGAAGGACGGACGGATGGATGGATGAATGATGGACGGATGGATGGATGGATGAAGGACGGACGGACGGACGGATGGATGAAGGACGGATGGATGGATGATGGACGGATGGTTGGATGCATGGATGGATGGATGAAGGACGGACAGATGGACGGACGGATGGATGGACGGATGGATGGACGGACGGACGGATGGATGGATGGACGGATGGATGGATGGATGAAGGACGGACGGATGGATGAAGGACGGATGGATGATGGACGGACGGACGGATGGATGGATGGACGGATGGATGGATGGATGAAGGACGGACGGATGGATGGATGGACGGACGGACGGATGGATGGATGGATGAAGGACGGACGGATGGATGAAGGACGGATGGATGAAGGACGGACGGATGGATGAATGATGGACGGACGGATGGATGGATGATGGATGGATGGATGGTTGGATGGATGGACGGACGGACGGACGGATGGATAGATGGACGGACGGACGGACGGATGGACGGATGGATGGATGGATGGACGGACGGACGGATGGATGGATGGACGGACGGACGGATGGATGGATGGACGGACGGACGATGGATGGATGGATGGACGGATGGACAGATGGATGAAGGAT